GCCTCACCAGTGTCCTGTACTGCCTGTCGCGCGTGCAGACGCGGTTGAAGGTGGTGTAGAGGGACGGGCAGCTGGAGACGTTGTTGAGCCGGGGGAAGGCCAGGCCGATGGCGTCGTTTCTGAGTTCGGGAGAAATCTGGAAGAGGCCGCTGCTGTACGGGACAATTGCGTAGCTGAGGAGACTCAGAGACTTGGGAGCGGTGAAAGTCTGAGAAATGTCTGTGGGGAGGGCAGGGCGTTAGCTGGAGACACAATTCGATAGTAGGCAGCCGTATGCGGTCAAGTATCACCAAAGAGTACACATAAGGTTGCAAGTGAAAAGAGTTTAATTGAACGTGACTGTTTATTTGTGGCTTGCACTTAATCTTACGACTAACTACGGATTATCGTAGGTAGGCCATCAGTTTAACTTTTAGGCGTTTCCTTGATCGCATCATTCATTCGAACTCTGTAATGAGTCGTTTCGCTTTTTCCATGACAGTTGTTTCATTTATTAATTCGGATCTATGACATCCGGAATAGCGGACCTCAACACAAAATTGTGTATTGATGCGATACTCCTTTATTGTTATGCCGATGGTGAGACTGAAATGTGAGTCTTTCTGAGTCGCCTTCTCACCTGGGTAAGCGAGGAACTCCCGAGCTATGATGTTGATGACGTAGTCGGTGCTGTCGCCCTGGTCCCTGAACAGATCGGCGTACCTGGCAACGATCAGTGCATTCAGCGTATCAGTATTTACAGTACATCAGTGAATCAAGATACCAACGTGCGAGCAATAGGGGTTAAGCCGTCTTGCTAGAAAACCTATCATTTATGTTTTTTGTTATATGGGCTGACAATGCAAATACTAAAACGATATTTTTATCTTTATTTGGGCAGTGGGTGCATAAATACTCCCCTGCTCTGTAAGGCCATCAATATGTAGATTTATATAGATCCGTAAGGGTTAATCCTATATATCAATGAGAGTTGGGTAATTGAAAGGCTTGCCCCTACTTTCGTCATGCATTAAATTCGTCTCCTTACCTCAGAATCGAATAGTCCAGCTCCTCTCTTGGATACCGTTTCATTTTGAACGTCTTGTACCGGATGTTACCCTTTGACCAAGGCACACCATTTGTGGCCGGGTCGTGGGAAGCCAGCATCAGCGTGGAGCCATTGTAGCTGCCCTGCATGCGACAGAACAGCAGAAGATCCTTGTCCTCCGCGTGGCCCAGGTAGCGATGGTCGGGTAGTGCCGTGTTTTTTAGGTAGTTATTCCAGCATGTGGTGAGGTCTTCCGTGGTACACATTCGCGCCCGGCAGAAGTGTCCGCGTTGGATGCAATCGTTGTCACTTCGGCAGAACTCCCCACCTTGAGATTCTCCGGGCATGATGAAAAACTGCCAGGTGTGGTTGGTTTCAACATCGCGTATGAACCTGCCGTAGCTCCCCACTGTGCTGTAGAGGATGCACTTGTTGGAGTGCATGTTGAAGCTGAAGCTCCTGCAGTTGTTGTACTGGCTGCAGAGGCCGCAGCAGCTACAGGGGCTGGAGGACGGTCCCAGTTTGGCTCGTTTTATCTCCAGAGAGGGGTTGAGCGTTCCGAAAAGCTCGTCCATGACTGACAAGCAGGTGTCGCCAGGTTGCATGGCCCATCCGGTGAGCAGAATGATCAGACTGAGCCTCATGTGGTCGGTGCTTTTGGTCGGTTTCTGTTAGATTGCACAGTTAAATGCCCTCCTGAAAAGGGAAAATTAATAAAATGGCGTATTCGTGACTGGTTATCAGCGTAAAATATTTATATTTCGGTAAAATAGCCGATTTCACGACAGGCTATCCGGCGAATGCACCTAATTTGACCAAATTTGCACCTAATCTCTTTTACAGCAAATATCTTCATTTTATGAATTTATTTCAGTGTTTTAATCTATGATACTCTCTGAAAATATGACAAAGGAGGCATATAAGCAATTAGTGCAACCCTAGCTGATAGCTTCTAAGAGATACACTGAACCTAATTTGACCAAATCTGCACCTAATCTGCACCAAATGTGCACCAAATGTGTACCAGATGGCCGTCGTGAAAACGGCTAATATCGAGCAATTAATTGATTCGACAAAACATGCTTCAGGGATATGCATCAGGCTGAACATATTATTTCGATTGATTGCTCATAGTTATAGAGCTATACGACATCAAACTTTCTCTGAGAAGACCTCCATCAGTCGCCATTGGGGCTTCGACTAGTGACCACTTGTTGACCGTCTATGAACATCCCCCCCCATAAACTTCACATCGTCCGCTGGAGCAATAGTTATAGCATGATCAATTCTAAGATTGCTTTACTATGTCTCCGACGCCACTATCAAAACGTCTTTATAATTAGCCGTAACAATACATAACAATTAACAACCGGACCGTTTCAATACGGACCATGGGTCCTTGGGTCACGGGATCAACCCCGTGGGCCGTGATTGGAGTCCGTTCAGGGCAGTTAATTCTTGACAGGATGGTGATTTGCCCGGGGTCTGATGTTAATTATACAATCTGAACACAAAGGGAATAATAACGCGTCATTGAGAACCACGAGTGTCGACCGGGTTGTTGCCGAGCAAATACGACTCGGTTTATCAAAGTACTGTGTTGTCTGATGAACGGTGCTTGAATAATGTACCTCATATTTCATAAAAAGTTTCGTGTAACTAATCGCCAAAGGTACTGCGGAACGGTTCGTTCTCCTTATTTCTGGCGCCCCTGACATTATATGCTTCTTGGTTAGCTAGTCAACATTATTTGGCTGTTTCTGAGTAAACGCCTTTCTTTATATTTGGCCCCTAAATTAGTCCATCTATCATACTAAAACCAAGCCACACCCGCCGAAGAGGCTGCCGATTTTCCGGCACCTTGCTGGGGAGGGAGAGGACGTAGGGCGACTGTGAACGGCGAACGCCACTTTTGCCTGGCCGGTGACCCTCCCTTCTATGGCTCCGCTCAAATTAACATAACTTCAGATGCGCAGGTACTCGGTTTGGTCTCCACCAGGAAAAAGCCTTCCAAATGGCCGTAATCCTATCGCGCTGTGTTTCTCGTATAATGACGTCTCCAATCGACTTTCATTTGAATTCATACATAAGCTTCTGTGAATCGACTATCATCTAGATTCATAGATGAACTTTTGTGAAATTTACCTGATTTTGACCCAGGGGAGTCAAAGTCATGACCTTTGTGTTGTTTCTAGCAATTACATGCAATGTAAATTAAATGCACACTATTATATTTCACTTAAAGTCATATACCTACTACCAGTATAACGCCTTTTGGGGCGACTAACGGAGCGAGCGAGAGGGTGGGCCTTGCACGTGTGAAATTTCGAGGGGGTACCTCCAACTGACTTGTGCACGGCACCCTACTAACCGGTCTCTAGCGATGTGCCAAATTTGAGCACAATCGGCGCAGCCGTTCTCGAGATCTGGAAGCGGCACCCTGCACGTGCGCACGTGCAAAATGGGTCCCAACTGACTTGTGCACGGCACCCTACTAACTGGTCCCTAACCGTGTACCAAATTTGAGCGCCATCGGTCCAGCCGTTCTCGAGATCTGGAAACGACCCCTGCACGTGCGCACGTGCAGCAGCACCCCAACTCTGGCACATGGATATGCAGTGCCTAGTGGGTGCCTACCTACATGCCAACTTTCAGCGCAATCGGCCAAGTAGTTACCGAGATATTGCAACAATTACAAAACTGACACCTCTTCGTTTTGCACGTGGCACGTGCATAAGGGGTCACCCACATGCATCGGGTATAGTCCAATACTTGGTAGAAGGAATGAAGCTACCCTACAAAAATTACCCCGTGTAAATCGGTCAAGTGGTTGCGGAGATATAAGCCTCGCAAAAGCGTCCGCACGGCCGGCCGGCCGGCCGGCCGGCCGCTCATACTCAGAAATTTCCGTTATTCTACGTAAGACTCCGCTCGCTTCGCTCGCTCCGTAATCACAATTAGGGGGCACATTCGTGTGCCTATGAATAACTATCCTTCGTCGCTAATGTTTTTCGTATGTCTTTATGTTTTCGTGTGCTAATGTTTTTGGTATGTTAATCGCATTTTTTATTCGTATGTTGATGTGTTTCGCTAATGTTTTTAATACCTTCGTCCAAGCGGGTTTTTCAGTAACCCGCTTGGAAAAGATATCCTTATCTTCCACTCGGAGCCAAAAAGAATCCTCTATAACACAATGGGGCACATCAGTCTAGTGATCAGTGACCACTGAATTATGGAAGTGATTTCGAAACTGGCCGTTTTATATTTCCGGCTACCGAGCCCCGAGTTTGCCCACACACCAGTGACCTACCTCAGCTTACCTTCCCGCCGTGAGTCTCAGGACAGACTGTTCATCCGTGCTGACTCCGACTCCCTCCAAAACAGCAGTGGTGGCTATTTGATATCGACCACCTCAGCAGTCAGGCGAATCGTAATTAAGTCGTAGCTTCACGGTTGTGTTAAGGCTTTGACGGGGCCCCGTGATCCCACCTTCTCGAACGGACCATGAACTTCATTTGATGACCCTATTGGCATACAGTAAACCAAACCACCACCTGTCACTCGAGACTGTCACTTTAATGTCACGGTCCCCGGAACCGCTTATGTTTACCGGTAGTAAACGCGGTAGGCTATGCTAATTTATTCTAAGGAAAGGAAGTACCCGAGCAAGCACCAAATCATTCTGTACCCTCTCCACCCAATGGAACTTGTTCACCCATGCTGCCTTTATTAAAGGTAAATCAACGGATGTGTCTTCCCCTGACTTGTTGCTCTACTCCTGCTCATTTCGAGAGACTTGAATCGGAAAGTTACTGAGAATACGATTCTAAGCAGAAATACCGAAGCTACCGCTGTCAATTGTTAGAACAGCCCAGCTATTTAATTTTCTAGTTTCTGAAAATTGAGCGATTGCTTCCATTTTTCATCTTAGCTCATCGAACCCTCACTCAAAACTGCACATGAAACGCGAACAGCAAGCACATCATCTCATATATGCACGACAAATATGCCCATCAACACTGACTGGCTTTCGCATCACACGTACCCGCAACAAGCCTCCATTCACGAACCTGCACAAAATCGCAACATAAGCGCTAGAGGCTAGGCTTCGTCACGTGTGCGTTTGGCCTGTCGTGTGCACCTTTCCTGTCCAGTGATGGGGAGCCTCGTCTCCTGCACTAGCACTTTCGGGCTCAATGGGATCACCAGACCCGTCCAGCAGAAGCCACGGCAAAGAGGTCCTCCGCCACCGTGACATGACCTGGGTCACGCCTGGGGGCGGTGATTCGAGGTCATGAGATGCCTCCACTGACCCCACAGGCTCCTTGCGAAGTGCTTCAGAGGGCGGCGGCGACTGTAGCGACGCTAGGTGGTCGGTAGTGGAACTACTGACACCAACGGCTTCGCCGTTAGATGTCGCGCAGGTCTGCGGAGTTTCTGTGATGCTGGCCGGCGCCGTAAAGACTGGAAAGGCTGACAGTGCGCGGACGGATTTCACCAGTTTGGCCAGCAGTGACCTGTGCTCGGAGGCAGACTGAGTGTCTCTGTCTCTCCGTCTCTCTGCCGCGGATCGGGGCGGGGTGGAGGCGTCTCCTCCTGCGCCGCTCTCACCCACGGTACCGACCAGTCCCAGCTCACCGCTCGTCTTCTCACCCTCCGACTTCTCACCGCCTCTCCGGGGCCAGGAGCAGCCCTCCGGAGAGTGGCCACCCTCCCTCTCCTCCTCCCTCTCTTCCTCTCCCTCCGTCTCCCTCTCCCGCCCCTCCATCCCCTCCACCTCCCTGGCCAGAGTTTCCACACTGACCCCGGTCAGCCGACTGGCCCGGGAGGGTGGTGCCGAGCCGCGACTCGAAACACGGCCCGCCGGCGAGGTCGAGCCACTGGCCCTCGAGGGCGGCTGCACGGGCGGGCCGGGCCGGACCCTGTTCTTGTGCAGCGCCTCCGATAAAAAACGACACCGAGGACTGGCCTGTTTGGAGGGGGACTTGGCGCGAGGTGCCGCGAGCCCGCGGATGTACTCGTAGGTGGTCATGTCACGGGCCATGATGTAGACGTGGAAGAGGAGCAGGTGGATGAGAAGGATCCCGCAGAGGAGTGAGAGCAGAGCGAAGACTCCCGCTGTTGAGAAAAAGACGGAGCGAGGCGCTGGGAGGCCGAACATGGTCATTCTCGGAGAGCAGAAAGCGCCGGGATCCGGCTCGTAACCGTCGGGACTCATCTCCATCGTTCCCTCCTCAATCGGCCCCAGAGCTTGTGTGCCGTTCACACAATTCACACAGTCCCCGAGTCTCTCGGGACTGAGATAGAGTAGCACTATCTCACCAGCGGAGAGAGCCAGCACCAGGAGAGCCACCGCTGCAGCGCTGGTCACACACGCCAGAAACCAGCCGTAGTTCCGTCTTCCAATGCAGTGGTTCAACCACTTGCAGTGATGATCGAATTGATCGACGCACTTGTTACACACGGAACAATGTTTCGTCCTTGTTGACGTGATCCCGATGTTGCACAGATGGCACCGTCCGTTCTCGATCACATGGGCGTGCACGTTTCTATCAAACTCTGGCACTGGGACCCGCTCCCGTCTCGCTCGAAGGTCACCATGTGCAGGGTCCAGCAGAGTCGCCACTATATGCGTCACACCGTGAACCAGCAATACCACGACGGCCAGCACAGCAGCGGGGAGTCTCAGCGGCGGGCACAGCGCCGGCACCAGCACTCCTCCCATGACAGCGGCTGACAGCAGCAGCAGCAGCCAGGCGGCCAGCTGCTGACCGTGCAGCGGCAGCTGGAGGCCGTGCTCGCGCCGCCAGCGGCGGTACTCGGGAGCGACCAGCTGGTCGGCCGGAGTGCGGCACGGACCGCGGCCAGACATCGCGGGGGCTTCAGTGGACGGCAGGACTGCGCTTCAGAGAAGGTAAGGCTTCGCTTCGGCAGACGGTAGAGCTACGCTGCAGAGGGCGGCAAGGTGGAGCTCAGCTACAGCAGGCGGGAGTCTCGCCAGTAGCTCGAATAAAGCTTGACTTGGGTGGAGACTAGAGGACGGTGCAAAGTTTCTCGAAGAAGATAGGTGAGCTGGTGAATCGATGAGTAGACGGTGGTGACGGCAGTGGTCGCTGGAGGCTGAAGGAGTTGGTCGCCAGAATACCGATGGCGTCACCTGCCGTCACTGATATTGATTGCCATATTCAGCAAACAACACCGTCGCCATTTGCATCGGTTCTTGCCAGCTTCTGATATCTTTGAAAACCTCAGCGGTCGAATGCATCACCAACGTCTTTCACCGGTCCTCAACCTTCACTTCGCTGTACAAAATGTTTACCAAATAGCACCAACTTCGCACACATCACCAACAGTCTTTACTCGGCACCAGCAGTCACCAGCACCTCTCAGCTGACCCTTTGTCCTCTCTTCACTCTCTCGGCCTTCTGTTCTGAGCCCTCCGTGCCCGTCCTCTCGGATCCATCCTTATTGGTCGCAGCACGCCCGGTCGATGGTCACAGGCCTGATTAGAGGTACGCCCCCTCGCAGAGCTCCTAAACTTAGCCTCAGGATGAGAAACAGGATGTTGCTTAGTTCATTGGGCTTATGGGATGAATGACGGTGTCCTGAGTGTCTTGTTTCGCAAACGCTGGAAGCTGCTTAGATTTAGACGGTTGCGTAGTTGTGTTGCTAGAAAGAGCATAGCTTCTGCCTTGTTCGTGAGTGAAATAGATTTAGAAGGCTGAAAATCAAGTCTTAGGCTTAGTTAGTTAATTCAAATGCAATTTGCGTCAACTTACACCCCACATTTGCCTCGAATTGAACGGAAACAGCTCGAAAATCAAATTTAAGAGTCACGTGCTAGACGTTCACTACTACTTTTCATCGGCTGCAACTAGTTCTTGCAAGCATAATTTGCTCTCGCATGAACGGTTTAAAGGCATGATCACGATTTCACCGGGACGTATTGTCGTCTATGAGCTGTTGGCTATTTGTTCCCTTTGGAATGGCCCTTATTAGATAATTAAATCGGTTGATAAGTTTCCCCATAGAAAGGTACGTTGAATTATGAAGCTAGGACGTGTATTACATAGGCAAAAAACAAGGAGGAACACAGCGCACAACACAAAAATTACACCTTTCACATTTTTTTTTCACGAAAGACGTGTAATATTGCGGTGAACGCATTTCTCAGTCACCATATTTCAGCACGTAGACGAACTAATTGCACTCATAAGGCTGCAGATATCTGTCAACTGAGCTTACACTGGGCTGTGCAAATGCTTTAACAGCAAACAGACCTTGAATCACTTTATCTAAAACCACAACAAACCACGTAAAAACATCAACACAGCCCTTATAAAAGAAAAGTGTCCACGCAAAGAACGGCTCTTAACGTTTATAGCACGACACACAGCTTGAAATGAGACTTACACTATCAGGAACAAACGCAGGTAACACATTTCACAGAAGGAAAAGTCCATATTATGTGTTGTAACACACAAATGCTGTAATATCACAGTTATTTCCAAGTAATACCACACCAAAGGCATTCAAGTCGTTCTAGGCAAACGTGCATCGGCACATCGGTGCATTCACTCAGGTCGTCGTAAAACAAAAGTGGCCTTTTGACGTGTCAAAACATTGAATTTGCTTTCCAGATGACAAGAGCGATTGCTTGCATTGGCATCTAAGACACAATCTCTGGTTAGTGAAAACGTTACATCGAATGGAACTGCAGTAACAAATTATAATGAAGCGATAAAAGCAGGGAGGATGCCCGTACTAAAAGGCAAGCACACGGGCTCGGGAACTGCCTAGATTCCCCGTTAGAGCGAAGTTCAGAGCGATATAGAGGTCGGTGCTGTTCGAGTGACCTCCAGTCGCCGTTGCTTTTCTCCGGTTACCCACAGACTTCTAGTGGACCTTCGCAGCCCAATCCAGCCAGTCTAACGGTAAGCTGGGGAAGGTGCAAGATTCAAGTGAGCCAATGAAAGGTCAGAAACGACCCTGACAATATTGCAGTGAGGACGGCATGAATTAAATGCGATAAGGAAAGAGCGGGGAATAAAATCACGATGTGCTTCACACGAAAGTCGAATAAGTGACGAGATGGTTCAGTGTTGGTTTGCATAGAGTGATGTGCTCAGAGCTTTCATCTGTAAAATAATTTTCCTTGCCGAATTTTATCACACATTAAGAGTTTAATCCGAGATCCTTTTAAAATTGCAGAGCATGGCAGTGGTACATTTATTAGGTACGCAGAATGCAGATGCTAGTGAGCACAGATTTTAACGAGAAGTGCAAATCCGTTTAAGTGCATATTCTTATATACACAAACGAAATGAGAAGTTTGTCCTCATTTCAAAGGAAAACTTCTTCGTTTAAATGGTTGGGTGCTGACACCGCAACCAATTTTTGCGTAGTTTGGACGGACAACATAGAAAATGGTGCATAGAAAAGAGAGGTGAAAAACGATGCTTTTGGTTTTGGATGAGAACACGTCAGATAAACGTTGTTCTCTATCCTTGACTTGATCTAGAGATGTTTTCGACTTATGCTGTATTTTCATGTACGCGGCCTTTTGTCGGGCATTGTCGATCAATAAGTTGATCTAGATCCGCCCGAGTAAGTATTTGTTTCGTTCGGTTCTGAAAACGTCGTCGTAATGTCATACACAGAGAGCAAATGAAACATGAAAATCATTAATTAGACATAAACGGAAAGGAAAGCTTAATAGTACTGATCTCAGGCAGCTTTCGCCAAATTGTCAGGGAACTCAGATTTGTTTTTCAATAGAAAAACACATTTCTAAAGAATAGTGTTTTAACTATTGATGACAAACCTTCGGTTATTAAAGGGACACTCCCACCTTAACATTAGTTTTGAGTTGAAATAGCCAAATTGGTGGCCATGGCCTGCAAATACCGGTTTGGGCACTCACAACATCGACAAATGCTTTAATTCGGAGATATGGAATTTCAAACTTGCAGTTTTCGGATTCTAAGGGGCTAGTGCATTGGTATGCCCCCTTAGAATTTGTGACGTCAGCGGAGATCTAACGATTTTTAAATCTTTTACTAAAACGTTTGGTAGCACGCGGTGGTATATGCTGCTTTGCGCGCAACAAATGCCGCACTTTCAAATAAAGTCGCTAGGAACAGCGGAGATCCCAAAAAGTAAACAAAAGTAAAAGTCTAATATCTTGAAAACCGGTGAATATTTTTCGATGAAATTTGGTAGATATTCGTTTTCGCTCTTTCTGAACCGAGTGACATCACTTTCGTGCCAATTCATTAACTTTTTTGAAGGTGGGAGGGTCCCTTTAATCACGAGTAGTTATAATGAAACGGCCCAATATTTGGATCGTTACTAAGAAAGGATGCAATAGAAACGACGTACTCGAAATCGGCATGATGGACAAACACTGAAACTATTGAATCGACAAATAATGTGAAAATAGGTAGGTACACTTTTAGGCTTAGCAATACAACACTTAATTTTTGTCATTTAATCGCAAAAAACCGTTTATTGTACGTCAAAAATGAACACAATGACGTTTCGGGTCGCATTCTCCCTATCGTAACGTACCTCCTGGATGTTTAATCCTGTTCTTCAGATCAGTGTTCTGCTCATAGAGTCTGTCAATGTTTCTCTTCAGGTCAGTGGTCTCCTGTTCGCGCTGTAAACGGAAGAAATGGGTAAAAGTAGCGGCATTCAGAGCAAAATTCAAAGGAGGGAATGCAGATGATTTTGAACCAGTCATTTAATGTTGCACCGAGCGCCATTGCAATCATTTATGCTTTCTT